ACGTCAAAGTCGTTGGTTTTTATCTGCACATTGCCCATACCTTCTGCACGAATTGTGTTTTCTCCTGCAAGTGTGATCACCTCATCGAATTTTTGGAAAGTTAGAAACAAATCTCTTTTACAGCATAAATGAGAGGATGCCCCACTATCAATGCACCATATATTGCAATCCAACATGTTCGAAGTCGATGATGTGAATACAGAGAACGACGTATGTTTATTTTCTCTTTTCGAGTCTCTTTCCTTGCACTGTGCTGCATAATGACCTCTACGACCGCAGTTATAACATTTTGCTATTACCTTCGTACCTATTACAGTGATTGTTCTTTTTCACATTACTTTGTCGTTTTCCGTTGTCCGTTATACGTGCCATGAAAACCTCTTCTTTGTTATCAGAAATTGAGTTTTCGTTTCGACCGATTTTTCTGCGTTCGCCTTCTTCAGCTAATTTAATTTTTAATGAACTTTGTTTGGGCAAGTCATCTCTACTTTCAAGCGCAACAACGAGATTTTCATATGATTTGGGCAAGCTAGCGAGCAGCCCTATCCTATCTCCGACAATTTGTCCACGATCGACGAGAAGTTGACTATGTGTTGCTGGATACATTCATTGTCCCCCATCCTCAATGCCAATAGTTGCTTAAAAAGAGTAACTTTACGTACCGGTCCTCTCGGTCGATGAATTTCACGTAATGCAGTCCAAGCGCTACTTGCTGATGATGCGTCTTTTATGTAAGTAATTTGTATTGGGGAGGAACTCACAATTATTGACGCCAGGGCCTTTTCGTCTCTTGTTTTCCAACTACTCACTTCCTTCTCATTTGTATCGGAACGGATTAGTTTTGCTTCTTCACCTGACACCACACTCCACAAGTCTTGATGGACCAGGACACTCTTTATCTGCAAGCTCCAGGAATCATAGTTGGAGTCATTTAGCTTCTCAATACTATACAACGAAGAACTCATCTTCTTTATGTTCAATCAAATATATACTTGGTTTAGCAGGTGTCAAACGAGCTGGTACCATAACCTGTTGTTAATAATGTCCTAGTTGGCTGACTAATAAATGACACACATCTATTTGGTTCAAAGACTTTAATCCAAGTGAAGTATTCAAGATGTACAAGATATAAAAAAAATGAACTTAATATATGTAGCATTAATATATATGTGTATGTAACAGAGTAAGAAATTCAACATGGTAAGTAAATATGTGGGTTGCCAGAGTGTGTGCATTTCAGTTTTTTCCAACAGAGGGTTATAATCCTTAAGTGCGGCCGAAGACCTCTTACGCAGAAAGGTGTTCTCTGCAAAAGGTGTTCAGCCCCTCTTCTTTGGCAACACAGAAATGAGAATTCTACGTAGTGAGGGTTATAATCCTTGAGTGCGGCCGAGGGCCGCCTACGCGAAATGGAGTTGGACGCACAAGTACTTTTTTGATAGAGTGGCAGCAGCAATTTTCCTCCATTTTATTTTTAATAGAGTGGCAACACCAGTTTTCCTCCAACTTATTTATATTAACTTCACAATATTGTTGTGCAGATTGTCAAAACTGGAATATTGGAATTAAATACCGAATTTCGCGAAAATGTATACTTAAAACATTACAAATATATAAAAACTAATAAATACGTGTTGAGTTCATTTACTTCATTTATTCGCGTTAAATTCATCAAAACATAATGCGAAAAGTGCAAATGTTTTTTGCAAATAACTCTTTAATGATTTAAAAATATTAATTTCCGCTCTCGGGTTATTGTTATTCGCTTTAAAGCTCGTCGATTAATACCCGTCCCGATTCTATTCATCAATTTTAGCCTGGTTCCGCTAAAGTCCACTTTTACCAATAATATATAATATAATAATATGTTGTTTACTAAGGGTGTGTGCTAATCGGTAACTTTTTACTCCGTGGTGAGACGGGATGGAGAAATATACTATGGTGTAGAAATAAATTGATCTTTGCTGTGCCAAATGCAAAGTAAAATTGGGACAATTTTAGTGAAATCGACAGTATTTTATTTTATTTTTTAACAACATAAAATGCGATTAATAATTTCACTACTTTTCTTCAACAAAGTAAAGAAGCAAACAAATCAAAATGGCTGTAGCTTGCTGTCTCCACAGGCAAAAGTTTTTATCTTGATAATGTTATCAGGCAAAATTTTGCCCATGGAGACCGCATATTGCTCTTGGCAAGCAATAATTATCAGAGCTTTTATCTTGATAAATATTGCCAGCAATTTGGTACTTTGACAGCTACATTTTCATTTGCGCGATAGCTTCGTGGAGACAACATTATCGATATTTCAATATAAAAGCAAAAATTGAACTGTTTTCTATTAAAATATGTGTTATTATTTGCTTGAGTGTGAAATAGCATATTTTTTAAACTTTTTAATTGATCCGGCAAAAATTGCCATCTTATAAATGCCTTTATCAAGATAAAAAATGCCCACGCACAAAAATTGCCGCTGATAAAATTTTTATCAGGCAATAAAAATGAGAGTTGGTAGGCAAAAACTTTTGCCTGTGGAGACGGACCGTAATGGAGAACAGAAAGGTGTTACCAGATGTTAGAAAATTAAATACACTAAAATGAAGGGATGTTCAACAATCTTATATTGTTAAAAAATAAAATAAAATATATGTAATGTATGAAAAATACACGTGAACCTTGCGATCGTATATCTATGAAAATATAAGTGATAGCTGCCCTTTTTATATAAAAATTTGCTAGTGAAAGTGCATACTGGAAAATTTTCTTCAAAATTCGAAATAAAAAGCTTGAAGTTTAGATAAAATTTTTTTAGTTTGATTAATTTTTGTGAATTTTGTACAAAAGTTTGCAAGATTGATTTATTTGGTTTTTGTTATAGAATGAGCCATATTTTAAACAAAAATAAACGATGATGGGAAATATTTTGAATATTAGTGGGATTCACGAAGCGTCGCAAAGTTGTTCCAAATGTCGCATTTGTTGGAAAATTTGCCACCTTGCGGCACAGCTGATTACTTTTGTATGGAAACATTCTTGCGACAAAATAGCACCATTGCCATATCATTTGATCTGGTAATCATTTCAAAGTCAAAGTCGCGAAACACATGTTTTTTTATTGTTTTCGAATACTTCAAGAAAAAGTATATTAGTTAGGTATTTGTTATTGTTATTGTGGCTTATTAACATTTTATTTTTAATATTTTTATTGAGCTTTTGTACCACGATTGTTTATTAGGAAAACTTGAAAAAGCAACACAGTCTAAGCGGTAGAAGTTATAGCGCTATTTCGGAGATCACCACATCCCCTCATCAGACTTCTTTTCCCTGCTTCCCTGCTGAATTCTAGAAAAAGAAGTCTGATGAGGAGATGTGGTGATCTCCGAAATAGCTGCTATAACTTCTACCGCTTAGGCTTTGTTGCTTTTTCAATTTTTCCTAATAAACAATCGTGGTACAATCGTGGAAGAAACACTGCTCGTTTATTTGATAATGAAGAATGATCGCAGGTGATTCAGCATATCAATTGACAAACACTCGATGACGCCATATCGCAGCAATTCTACATTAATGGACACAGGTCGACAAGCCGAATTCAACAAAAGACACAGCCAATACCGCGTTAGAGTGGAAAATTGCTTCGGAGTCCTTAAGGAAAAGTTTTGCAGCTTTAAAGAAATGCGAATTAAAATAAAAGACAGTGAAAGTGAAGTATTTTCTAATAATTTGGTACTCTATTGCTGTGTATTGCATAACATTTTATTGGAAGATCGCTGTTCTCCCCAATTTGAAGGCAATGAATAGTGTGCTGATTTATTGAATTTTCCTGAGTTTTGCACGAGTTTGGAAATTTGATATTTATGTTTTTTTGGTGGAGTATGAACCACATTTTTATAAAAACGTATCGCAAATAAATAACAATGAAAAACTTTGCATATATTTCGTAAAATTCACTGTGCCAATACTTTAGTTTGCCACTGTATGTGGCATATATGTACATACCGATTGAAATTTGTAAGGAAAAACACAACCGAGTAAACTCTTAAAATCATGATACAAAAATAGGAGGTAGTTTCATTTGTTGGCATTCGTTGTTGTTGCCGACCACTTGACTTTTAACAAGTTTGTGACATTTAACTAAAATCATGCTACCAGATTCACTAGCAGCAACGTTTTTGTTTCTTGAAAAAGAAAGAAAAAACGTTTCAAGCTCGTCGAAAGGTTCGAAAAAAAGTTCTTGCTAATGCAGTTTGATGACAAATTTCTGACGCAAAATATTTTCAAAACTCTAAACGAGGTACCGTTATCCGTGGAAGAGAGAGGAGGTTGATTTAAAATGATGCCCTGCAACTTGTAACATTTTGGATTCTCGGAATTTTCTGATAAATATGTGGCGCTGGTAAAAAATATATACGCGTGCACATGAGATGAAAAGTACTGCAGTTTAATTTTCTAAAATTTTTATTTATAGAAAAATGCATAGTAAACGACAATTCGAGGACGGTTCGGTTATTTGTGAAGTGATTTTGGGTTATCGTGTCCAAACGTGTGACCCGAATCAACAAATTTTAACATATGCGGCTAGTCAAAGGATTAAGCTTTAACACTTAATATGAATTTTTTTATAAATTTGGAGGTGGATTTTACCCAAAAATACTGTGGATTGTGAAAATGCTAATTTTACTCTATTTCGAAATGGGCCCCGAGTCCCTGTAGAAAGGGACGGAGGCGAAGGATGACTTTTATGCAAGTTTATACTGCGCTATTTCTAATGACTGGAGTTTTAGGTGCCCCACTTCTTCCCCCTCCGCTCCCATTAAAGTATAATTGCACAAATAACCGAACATTTCCCATGCACAACATTAAATCCTCTGATGTATTGTTTGATTCCTGTCAATGTGGCAAGGCAGCTCATAATTTTGTACAATTTATGAAACTTCAAAAACTTGTTTTTTGTTCAAAATTTTGAAATGAAACTACCTTTTTTTTGTATCATGCTTAAAATTATATATATGTTTTGTACTTGTTTGAAAATAGGTACATATTTTTACACATTAGGAGTCTTCACACCGATCTTGGCACTCGGTAACTGGGTGTTCGTTAATTTTTTCCTATGTATTTGGTTTGTGTAAAATGTAATATCCAAACGAATTACATGGGGAAAAATTACCCAACTCCGAGCCACCGAGTACCAAGCTCGAGTGAGAAGACCACTTTTGTGTTATTGCTTTAACAAAATGGTTTTATTTATTTTTTTAATTCATTTCAATTTCATACCATTTTAATCTTTCATTTTGCTCTAATTCTAGGTTTTTAATCTCGAAATCATTTTCAAGCTTTCGCCTCTCCATTTCTAATTTTTGCTTCTCAACCACTTTCGTCCATTCAAATTTTCCGATTTTCAATTGTACCTGCTTTTCTCGAAAATTTCTCTACGCTTAACTTTAGATGCAAACGTGGTAGCTGCAGATGAGGTGCTCAGTTCATCACTTGCCGGAAAGCTCTCGTCCTCTAAATCAGTCGCATCGAGTATACTGCAATCGAAAACATCGGTAGACGTGTCCATTACAACAACTTCAATTTCCTTCGATGTCGAAAAAATGTCGAAAAGTTGGTCCAAATGTGGACATTTTTTAAGCACTTTTTCTATACATAAACAAGAAATTTAAAGCTATTGTAATTAAAATCAAAGAACAGAATATGCGTACCTCTAATGGTAGTTAAATTTTCGTCATCCCCCAGTCCAGCGCCGGTAGAGTTGCTCCATCCATCGACGTTTTGCAAGGTGCCTTTTAGGTGGCGAACCTTGCATTTTAGCATATTCCAAGTCGCATCGATTTTGTTTTCTTCCAACAATTTTTTGTCATGCAGTTGGGCGGTTGGTTTCTGCAATTTCAAATATAAAAGTGGAAAAATAAACAAAAAGAAATAGACAACCTAAAGAATCGTACAACCATACCTCGATATTTCTGTGCCACAGCATATAGCTCAATACCTTTTTTATTTCATCCTCTGTCCATTTTTTTACTTCGTTTTCTCTTTTGCGTTTCCGAACTTCATTTGACGCTGGAATAAAATGAAAATGTACAATTAAAATTGATTTTTATTTCCAACGAAGTATTTTTTACTTACTTCCACTCATTTTGGTTGTGAACTTGTAAACAAAAAACAGCTGTTAATACCAGAGCTACCTACATAAAATTCTTAATTTGATGATGCCAGGTCGTTTTTTTGTGCTGCCATCTAGTAAATTTGTAGTATTTTCCAACAATGACATATAAGCAGTTCATCACATAATCTGTAAACAAGGGTTTGGGTTGGTCAAAGTTGGTTATTTTCATTCAGTGTATTTTGTTATTGTTCATATAACCACATAACCCGATAACGTGATAACGTGATAACGAACCAAGCCTGAACAAAATAATTAAAAAATTTACATTTGTAAACTACGGGCAACTTCATCCCTCATTTCCCTTTCATCTACAATCAGGGTGGGCAAAAACTCGGAGTTCGAGCGAGCGAGCAAACTCCTACTCAATGCCTCGCAGGCAACGAGGCGCTCGCAGCTCGTACTCGTAGCAGCAATGAGGCGAGGCACGAGAAGTTTGGCTTGCTCGGCAAACGAGCGAGCGCTTCTTGTTAGCTCGCGTTCCAATTAAACGAGCGAGGCTGTTGTGGTTGCCTCGCTCGCAGTGCGAGGCGAGTAGCTGTCTGCATACTCGCTCTGCTAGGTAAGACGTGTGAGCGACGAGCGAGCGCTCCGAGTGTACTATACAACACATGCATTTTTGTGCATAAAAATGTGGGAATGTAGTCAATAGATTATGCACGAAAGTATGTTAATAATTGTATGTACATATGCATATAAATATGTGAATATTATATTAGGGCAGCATTTAAAACAACAAATAAAATTTATTACATACATAAGCATAGATTATAGAATCCCTGCAAAAAGTTGTGCGACTAATCTCTAAAGAGAGTATTTCGAGATTACTCTCAATCGGGTACAATTGGGCATTAATTAGTCCCAACTAGTCTCATACGGGTACTAATGGAGGTCAATTAGTCACGACTCATTCCTTATGGGTATAATTGGAGATCAATTAGTCCCCAACTCATCTCTAACAGGTACTATTAACAATTTAATGATATGTACGCACTTAGTGAATGAAACTTCATGTGCGGCGTTGGCACACAGAGAGAGTATTCGCCTAACAAAACTGAGCACCCCGGCTCGAATCTCAGCTGGCGCAAATTTTTATTTTTATTTTTTAAAAGTGACTAGTCGCTTTTTATACCCGTTCGGGTATAAAGGTGAACAATTAGTCTCTTCATAGGACATGCTCGAACAAAAGCGATCAGTTCATTCCATATAAAGAGATCAAAAGTGGTATTAGTCGCATGCTCCTTCGCGATTGCTCCCAGAGTCATCCCGGATTAGTCTAATTTTTTGCAGGGAATGAATAATTTTTTAGAGTTATATACACACATATGTACATACATAACACGCATATTTATATATGATGTATGTACGTATTTATGTATGTATGTATTTATGTATGTGTACATATGCATGTATTTTGTCTTTACAGAGAAAAGTAAGTAACGAAGATATTATAATCGTCTGTGCCGCAGAAACAAAAAACAAGTAAGCACTTGCTAACACCCCAAAATAGTTTGCTACTTGTAGCAGTTATGCTGTATACCTGAATGAAATATATGTAATCCTTGGTGAAAAAATTTATTTCTGGCCTGTTGTTCAAGGACATATGTACATATGTATGTATGCATGGATATGTAGTCATGGGAAAATTTGCGTAAACAAAGAATAGAGGCCAGTTCACATACGTTGAATTTCAAAGCAGCCGTCCACATTGCCAAAATTTGGCAATGCTAAGGCCAACACAAAGCAGAAAGATCGCTGCATCGGTCGCCAGCTGTTGCAAATAAATAAATAAAATTATATGAAATGTTTTTTCCTTTCAGTCAAATGAGGGCAAGAAATATAATTTTTCATGCAATTATTGATATGAAATATTAATTTATCTCTCGTTAGTATGTTAATTTAGTGGCCAAAGTAGTCTCTGCCAAGCTTCATTGTAGAACGCATATTATTAACGTGCGTTCTGTCAAGCCAACGCCAACTACAAAGTCAACGCGAAAGTTCTTTGTGGACCAGCCTTAATTATCAAATACTGTTTCACACCTCAAATAGTAGTTTGTATTTTCTACATACATACATATATATGGGAACTAAACCAGGAATATTCATTTGAAAATGCTAATTTTAAATTTATGAAATGAAAGACAAAATAATTATTTTTATAAATATTATATTCTCATTTATACATATGTAAAAAAGTTACTTAGCCGATTTACTTAGTAATTATTTGTATGCAAGAATACAAAGAAAAATTATTTATCAAAAGCATTGCCCCTTACACCTTGAAAAAAGGTAATATAAGCTCTCAAAAAAGCAAAATCGCTACAGCGAAAAAAGTGTTTGAAAACCCGTATAAATTCAAAACCCCATAAAAAAGAACCGCAAAGAAAGAGATCTAACAGCCGCACTCAGAGTCGTTTAATGATTACTTAAGGTATCCCTCAGTAGCGATTTGAAAAAATTCCCTCTCAGAGTCAATTAATGATTCGTTAACGGCATTTAATGAACATTAAAGTTAAGTAAACAAAAACCTTTACTTAACTTTTTAACGAATTATTTTGAAATTTTTTGTTTGTTTTCAATAAATTTCAATTTCGATAACGTTGCTGTAATAGTAGCAATGGCCCAGTGAGCAGAGCACTTTCGTGTTATTCAGGAGATCCGAGTTCAATCCTCGGCAAGGAATTCTTTTTAATCAAATTTTTTTAAGATTTATTGGCGAAAAAATTCATATTTTTTATTTTATTTAACGTTTGGAATTTTTTTTGATTCATCATGTTTCTTTTACTTTCAGCTTCTCAAATTTTTAGTTTTTCCTGTTTTAAAAAGATATATTTTTTTCATTTCGTTTAGTTTTTAGAAAACTTATTGCTAAACGATAAATATAATAACACTATTAGCACATCTTTCAATTACTCATTCGAAATACAGAAAAGAGCTTTCAAGATAGTTGCCGAAATATAAAGACTTTTGTCTCTCGAAAGACTGAGGTGAGTTGAAAGACAGATGCCAGAATTGGCCTGTTATTGGTCTTGTTTGTCTTTTAGCAAACAGTTGAATTAAATTTAAAAAGATTGCTTTCCTTTTTAAAGCAATAAAATCTATAAATCAAAAGAAAATTAGATCAAAAAAGTAAAAAAAAAATCAATAAAGATAGTTTATAAAAATTAAACAAGAAAAATAGGAAAAAGAAAATTTTCCTGCCCTAGGACTCGAACTCAGATCTCTTGAATGCCACGCCAGTACTCTGCTCACTCAGCCATTGCGTCTGTTGAGCCAGTGTGCGCAAAATGATATAAATACTTATTTTTATTATTTATTTCAAACCGAACGAAAAAAGTGAGTGATGCCACAAAAATGAAGGGCCGCAACTGGGGCCTTACTTATATATTTTATTTCATAATTTTTAACTCTGAGAGGAAACATTAATTAACAGATTTAACGATCATTAGTTAAGTGCACGTTACAGCTAATTTAAGGAACGTTTCTGAGTGCGGCTGTAAGTGTATAAGTTGAAATTTTATAAAAAATTATTGAACATTAAAAAAATGATACCTACCTAGATATGTATGCACATACATATGTGCCAACCTAGTAGACAAAACTGGTCAAAATAGCACGCATCTATTCTTCTGTGCATGAGAATATATACATAAATAAATACATCCATATTTGTATATATGTATGTATATACATATCTGCATATGTGCGTACTCCTTTACTCGAAATTCTTAGTTAATGCAATTTTTATCCCATACATTTTTGCTGTCCAAACAACCCGTTTGCCTGTCTAATCTGCATGCCTCATTTGCCTCGCTCGCTTGCTCGCCTCATTTCCCTCGCTCGTTTGCTCGCCTCATTTACCTCGCTCGTATGCTGCTGCAAATGAGTGCCTCGCTCGTCTGCTGCTGGAAATGAGTGCCTCGCTCGCAACGACGCTCTCGCGAGGGCAGAGCTAATGAGGCCCTCATTTGCTTGTCGCTCTACTCTTGCGCTGCTCGCTTTGCTTACTCGCTCGCTGGCTGCTCAGCGCGTGCGCTCGTACTTAACAAGAGCTCTTTTGCAAACAGCCTCGCTTGTTGCTCGTGAGTTGCGCGAGCTCAGAGCAAACTAATGAGCGAGCGAGGGGCTAAAATAAGGCAAATCCGAACCCTGTCTACAATCGCCTGATGAATCGTCTGCAGCTCTCCAGTTCCTGTATAGCGAAGTGCAATGATGCCGTGCAATAAAACCATAGGAAATAACGCCATATGGCTTTATTTCACTTAACATTGAGAAATAAAGCCATATTTTTGCGTATTGTCTTATTTCTTACTGTGAAACAGTGATCGGATTTCTACCACATTGTGGTAGATCTGCCACTTTTTTGAGCATCTACCACATCTACCACTCAAGGTCTGAAATCTACCACATATTCGCTTTTTTGAGTAGTTTTATTTTTGCTTGACATAAGTAAACAAATCCGAATGGGAGGATAAATTAAATTGTAAAATAGTAAATTGTCTCAGTAATCAATTTTTCGACAGAAAACGCGGTTTTATTGTGTTAAATTGCAAAATATGTGATTTATAAAAATAATTACTTAATTAATTGTACTACAGACATAGAGTNAAGAGCTCTTTTGCAAACAGCCTCGCTTGTTGCTCGTGAGTTGCGCGAGCTCAGAGCAAACTAACGAGCGAGCGAGGGGCTAAAATGAGGCAAATGCGAACCCTGTCTACAATCGCCTGATGAATCGTCTGCAGCTCTCCAGTTCGTCTGCAGCTCTCCAGTTCCTGTATAGCGAAGTGCAATGATGCCGTGCATTAAAACCATAGGAAATAACGCCATATGGCTTTATTTCACTTTACATTGAGAAATAAAGCCATATTTTTGCGTATTGTCTTATTTCTTACTGTGAAACAGTGATCGGACTTCTACCACATTGTGGTANAAGCTCCGGCGACGACGAGATCTGATCGGGGCCGATCAGAGATGCAGGATAGCCGAGTTGTTACGACATGGCAACCTCGACCGTACGACGGGGACGAAAGAAGAAACGAAGAATTAGGCAGTCGGTCAGTTGAGCTATGGCGACGCGCACGCGNTTTTTGGGCATGTACCACATCGACCACTCAAGGTCTGAAATCTACCACATATTCGCGTTTTTGAGTAGTTTTATTTTTGCTTGACATAAGTAAACAAATCCGAATGGGAGGATAAAATAAATTGTCTCAGTAAACAATTTTTCGACAGAAAACGCGGTTTTATTGTGTTAAATTGCAAAATATGTGAT